AATCGATAATACAAGCAGAATTATCAAGAAAATATTTTGTTGGTAAATTACCAACAGATTTTACTAATATAAATATTTTTTCAATATTTATCCAGAAAATTATAATAAAATAAATTAAAATAAAAAAATAATAACATGTCATTTTTACTAATAAAATTACCGACAGAATAAATTCTGTCGGTAAAATTCATTGATAAACTGTGAACATTATTCATCATATTATTTACATAGGGAATCACCAATGAAAAACTCTATCAGTATTTTTCAGAGAGCTCTGGACTATTCACTTCTCTAATGCACTATTAATTATTGTTCTTTAAAGATAAAATCATCGATGGATTAAAAAGTATTCAGTGTTATTTAGTAGTTTTCTAAAAAAATTTATTAAATTAAAATTTTAAATTAAATATTACAGATGAAATCACCAGTAGATTGAAAAGTCATTGGTGATATTTGACGGTTTCTGAAATTTTTTTATTAAATTCAAAATTTAAATTAAGTATTTCAAACTAAATCATCAAATAAATGATTAAAAATATTAATATTTAATTATATTTCGATAAAACATCTTAATAAAAAACCTAAACTCCCTAATTTCACAACAAACATGGTTCATTTCTTCTTCTTCTTTTTCTTCTTCTTCCCCATATATAAAAAACATTAAAATACATTTCTTTCTCTTCTCTTCTCTCCCCAACTCTGTTTTTTCTTTTCCATGCTTAGGTATGTATTCTTTTCTTTTCTTTTTTCTTCTTATTTTTTTGTTTTAATTAATATACTTTATAACTTTTTTCCTTCTCTTTTTAGCTTCACTTGCAACCACATTAAGGTAAGATTTTTCTTCTTCTTTTTTTCACTATATTTGTTTTTTATTTTATTATTAATTCTTTTTATTCTTAATAATTGTATAAATATTATTGTAGGTTTTTTTTGTTTATATGATTTCCTTCTTCTTTTTTTCCAAGCGTTTTGAGTATTATAAAGTGTTGATTTATATTAATTTAATTATTTTATAGTTTTGTAAAATAATGTTTTTAAAAAGTATTTTTAAATAATTACCAATAGAATTATATATGGTATTTTTCTGAGGGAAATACCAATAAAATAAAGGGGATATTTTTTTTCACATCTTTTCCTTCAGTAAATTCTTCAATAATAATATATTTTTATTATCAATTAACTTGCCAATAAAAAAAAAATATCGATAAAAAATTCACTGACGGAGTATTTTTATTAATGATTTTGTTAATAAATTAATTATTAATAAAATAATAATACAAATTAATACCAACAAAAAAATTTATTGATAAATCTAAAAAATTGTGAAAGTGTTTTCGCTGCAGACTGCTTTAACCACTTCCAATCCACAACAGATATTGACAGAAATCATCATGGATTTTATGGAAGGGTTGCCAACATCACAGGGACACAATTTGATCTTAGTTTTTGTTGATTGTCTTTCAAAGTACGGGCATTCTATGCCATTAAAACACCCTTACACGGCAACATCACTAGCTAAAAATTTTGTCAACGATGTTGTGCGTTTGCATGGTGTGTCTTTTTCCATTATCAGCGATCGCGACAAAATATTCGTTAGTAACTTTTGGAAATCTTAGTTCAAACTCTAAGAGACATCATTATGTTTCAGTTCCAGTTATCACTCACAATCCGACGGCTAAATCGAGGTGGTGAACCACACTCTTGAGCAATATTTACGTTGCTTCTCTTTTGACCAACCCAAGAGATGGATGGAAGGCTCTCATATGCGGAATATGGATACAGTACTACCATCCATTCATCCATTAAATTTTCTCCTTTTAAAGCCATTTACATTGTTCCTCCTCTCTCTCTCTGATATCCTATGTTCTGAGAACAACACAAGTCCAAGCAAAGGACGAATTGTTGCGCACAAGGGAGGTCATTCTTCATGAACTACGATAGAATTTGTTAGAAGCGCAAGTTTGCATGAAGGCAAAGGCAGACCTGCATCACCGCGAGGTCACTTTTGAGGTAGGTGACTATGTATTCTTACGGCTGCAACCTTACCATAACAAGTCAGTGGCTTTCTGAAGGTTGTTGAAATTGTCACCTATATTTTCTGGCCCTTTCAAAGTTCTTGCTCGAATAGGAACGGTGGTTTACAAACTAGCCCTTCCAGTAGACGCGCAAATACATGATGTTTTTAACATCAGGTTACTAAAAAATATGGGGAACAATCTCCGATGCCACCCCAGTCAACCTTCCTCATTTCTCAGCAGATGCATCCTTGCTACAAGAAGCTGGGTTCATTTTGGATCGTCATGTTATTCAGAAGGACAAATATCATCCAAAAACAAAAATTTTGGTTGAATGGAAAGGAGCTTCCCTAGAAGATGCTACATGGAAAAACTTGTGGCGTTTCTCCAAAACTTATCAAAAGTTTGGCCTCGAGAACAAGGTCCTTCTTAGGGGGATGTGTTGATATGATTCTTCAAGAGCAGAGGTGGAAAGTAGAGCTTAGCAAATGTTGAAGAGCAGAGGTGGAGAGCAGAGCTTAGATATTTCCCTTTTGTTTTATTTAATTGCAGTTGAAATAGTCAATGAATAATTAGCTATAATCAGGGAAGTTATTGAAAACTTTCGTAGTATTCAGTTTCACTAGTTAAGTTCCAATTATCATGGAAGAGATTGTAACGTTGTGTCCTTATGGCCTATTTAAGCTCTTATTCTATTGAATAGAGGTGCAGAATAATATAAACACTCTCTTCTAGGTCTCTGTTCTTCTTTATATTTTTCCCCGCAAATTCTATTCTTATCATGCAGTCTAAACTATTTTTTTTTTCATGTGTTAGTTCTTGAGTTTTGAGAGAGAAGAGAGAAAATTATTGGACAAAAGGGAAGGAGAAGAAATGGGCGGCTAGCCATACTTCATCAACAAAAAAAAAAATCTAATTTTGTGTCAATTAGTTTATAATGATAAGAGAAGTGCCATAGAAGTATTCTATAATTGTCATCTCCGTAGAGTGCCTAGAGAAAATAGATTGGGGATTAAGAATATTTTGTATTTGTTTTAGTTTCATTTTTTTTTTACCAATAAAAGAGTGTAAACTAATTATTCATTTATGCTTTTTTTTTTTCCTCCTAATTGAGATTGGGTTTTGTTTGCTTTTCTAGAGACGAGTTTATATCAAATGATATATTATTCGATTATCTGTGTTTGATACTCAATATTTTTCAGCTATTTCATATTCCTGAAACATTAAGGTGTTTTTTTTTTTTTTTCCAAACTAGAGAAGTAAAAATTGGACATTGTCAAAGAAGGAAGGACACCGACGTCACAAAAGTCAACATTGTTTCTTTATTAAGTAAGAGATCAAGTCACTAGCAACATATATTTAATTATATGCAACGACATGAGATACATTTTAATTTCCAAATAAGGGATTTATTCCTACAGAAGCACATGGCGTAGCTTATTGATATTGTATTTGAGCATGCATCATCGATCGATCATGATCTTCAAGCTTTCTTGAACATAACCTTGAGAGGCACGCCGCCAAGAGCCAGACGCCTTACTCCTATGGCATCAACATAAATCCCGATATCTTTGCACATAACTTTGCAGTGTTGACACACTGTAGGGCAAACAACTAGCTTGTACTTGTCTTCGAGCTTCTCAATCTTGAACCAGTTGTTTGTTGTTTCCGAACCAGGATTTCCTTCAACTCCATTGGTTGTGACGAACCATTGTTTTGTCCATTCATCATAGCTGTCAAGCTTCCACGCTGTTGACTGTTGACAGATTGATGCAGCAGAGAATCTTATGTTAAGATCGGTGTGGACGCGGACGACACCTTTCTTGGTGTTCACAGGTGTGAATTTCAGTGGGAGACCATTTGATGCCTCATATCGCTCCTGAACAACATCAAGTGGGCAGGTTCTTCTTACAGTGCTAGCCATTTTGAGCCCACCACCTCTCCCACGGATCACCAGCAGGATGTAGTAGCCAGTGCCGGTTCTAAGTATCTTACCAGTGACGTTGAGCACTGGCTCAGGGGCAGCAGTAGCTGCTACCCTAGGCAACTGATTTGCAGCAAACGCAAAAAGAAGGAAGGACAATGCTAGAATTGCAGCACTCATTGTCGTTGTGGGTGACTTTCAATGTGTGTGATGTGTTTATGCTAGAATGAATGGGAAGAGGCTTGAATTTATAAAGTTAGCAATACAGTGGGATGCCTGCATGCATGCATGATTCTGGTAAGAACTTTTGAAGGAGCGCTCTGTATGACATGCATTTAAAACTGGTGGCTTGACCAGCCGTAAAGTCAATTGAAAGATCTTGGATAAACCTGATCCTATATTTTATATTCTTGAGTAGCTCGTACAATATGATCCGTTTTTGTTAATATTTGTGTGTTATTTGATAAAATTGGGATGGTCCAAAACCGCACCCTGTTTTCTGGAAAGCAGAGTTCCATAGGCAGTAAAGGAAGCTGTATATTACAATAGTTGATAGTGTGTTTTTTTATTAAAGCTGCAATGTCAAAGATTTGTACGAAGTCAGAAGTCAGAACTTCTTATCTGCTACATCGCATCATCTCAACAACTTCGTTCTTAATTAATTTCTGGTTTGCAGTTCAAGTCACTTCGCATGGCTTGTTTGAAGAGAGAAGAATATAAGGAGGAGATCATGAGAACATGTTAGTGTCCACATTTGCCGTTATTAGAAATGGTCCTCGTGACTGCCATATTGTACATCTTAACAGTAATGCCTTGGTAGCTCTCTGATTTGGTTTTCTATCAATGTGGACATAAGAGCTATCTAAGTACGGAAAATTCACGTAGAAAGCATAGAAAAGACTTCATTAATTTAATTTTTAAGAGCCACTTAAGTAAAGGAAAAGTGCATCTTAATAAGTCATGTAAAAAATTGAACTGTCTCAAGTTTACAAGTGCTTCAATCCACAGCTGCCTTAACCAAAACTCTTCTCCAAAATGCTCTGCCAAAACCTTGCCCTATTTCAAAGCAGCCCGTCATATACCAAGTCCATTTCCAACAAAGAGTAATCCGTATCCAATCTCAAATGCTCATTGATTATTTCTAGCAACATGTAAATTTTTGTGGAAGCATGATGAGTTGCATTTTCTGTATGAAATTCATGAACAACACCATTTAACTCAATGTAACTACATGCTGGTTTTTTCGTGACTTTTTGATCACCCATCATTTTCCTCATCTTCCGTGCGTCCTTCATCCTATTTGCTACATGATAGATGTTGGAAAGGAGCACATACCCTCCATCATCATGCGGTTCCAATTCAATTATCTTCTTTCCTGCAATTTCAGCCAAGCCCAAGTTCCTCTGGTTCATACAAGCGCTAAGCAAGGATCGCCAGATAACAGAATCTGGGTCCATAGGCATATTATCAATCAACTCTTTTGCCTCTTCCAAAAGCCCTGCTCGACAAAGAAGGTCTACCATGCTTCCGTAATGCTCAATCTTGGGTTCAAAGCCATAACATTGGATCATTCCGTTAAACAATTTATTTGCCTCGACAAGCAATCCTGAATGGCTGCAACCTGATAGAACCAACAGAAATGTAACATCATTTGGGATGACCCCAGATTCCAACATGTCATAGAAAACTTCAAGGGCATGGCTTCCTTTACCATGAGATGAGTGCGCTGATATCATAGTCGTCCATGAAAACACGTCTTTTTTCACCAATCTATCGAATATCTTCATAGCAGACTCAACGCACCCACCCTTTGAGTACATATCCATTAAAGCGTTGTTCACAGTAGCACCCTTATCGAGATTAACTTTGCTGATATAACCATGAATAGCTTGACCATGATCATGAGCCCCAAGATCAGCACAACCCGAGAGAACAGCCACTGCCGTGATAACCGTAGGCTGGTTTTCCCCTTCAGCTTTCATTTGCTTAAACATTTCAAGACCCCGAATTGGCATTCCTCCTCGAACATAACCTGTTATCATCGCAGTCCAAGCAACGTCATTCCTCCATGGCATTTCATCAAACACACGCCTAGCTGACTCTAAACCATTGCACATTACAAACCCATTAAGCAAACTGGTCCAAGAAGACACATCTTTGATACCCATTTGCTTAAAAACCAACTGGGCTATCTTAATTTCACCATTTCTGCAATACATATCAATCAAAGCATTACCAACAATCGAATTCGCCCCCAACTGAAATCTAAAGATCATCCCATGCACTAGCTTCCCATTTAGCAAATCTTGTTTTTTTCCACAAGCTGATAATGCACCAACAACTGAATGGCTGTCAGGCCTTAAACCCTCATTTACCAGCTTCGAAAAAACTGAAAAGGCTTTGAATGGAAGTTGAGTGCTCAAGTAAAGATTGATTAGAGAAGTATAAGTTACTCTATCGGGATCTTGAATATAACCAAACACCTTCTGTGCATCATGTGGATTACCCAATTTAGCATAGCTATTAACTAATTTGCAGGCCAAGGGTTGCTCAATGAAGAGTAATCCTTGAGTAAGAGCTTGGGCATGAATTTGCTTGAGAGTAACCAGATCTGTACAACTTTGCAGCAGAAGCTTTAAGCTCTGGCGCTTCATTCATCAATAGTACGCACGCAGAGATGAATCAGAGTCGGCCTATTTATAATTTTATCAAAAATGCCACCAGACATACAAATGTGTTGGTCAGTGTCGTAAAACACCTTCTCAGGGTTTTGAATTCCACCTTCAGCAAGGAAAAGCTGGGTCATCAAAATTAAATAAGAGGCGCATTTTGGTCACCAACTTTCATGGTGGGCATAAAACTACGTAGGCTGATGCATCCAGCAATGGATAGCCTACGGCGAAGTTATGGCTAGGTCAAACACACAAGTCTATGAAAGAAAGCACGTAATTGGGCGAGGAAAAGCTAAGCAAGAACACAATGTCCAAGACTCCAAATTGATGAATCAATTGCATTTCCCCACCAGTGCCAGTTTTACTTGTATTGAATCAAGATGCCTTTAGATATCGTCCTTTGCTATAGCAGTTGCCTGGTGTTTTCTTGATCCTGCACAGGGCCAGAGAGGCAGAAGGGAATGGCAACAGGGCCAACTCATAAGGGAAATTGTCGTGTTACTTTCTTGGCATAAAAACAACTAGATTAATTTGTTTCATTGTGACGTATAAGCATCTGCAAATATTCACTTATACAGAGAAGCGCTCATATTCATACTCTAATGGCAAGGTGCCCCCGCACAATATTTGCGTTGGTGTACTCTCTTCATGGAAAGACGAGATGTACGATACGCCCACTCGTACAACACATGGCCGGTAGGTGCTGATATCCTGCAAATCCAATCCGGAACTTGCTTTTCTAGAATCCCATTCTCTTCTTCAATCTCCACTGTAAGAGAAGACTGGGTGAGTTCACTGACCAGTGATTCAACAAGAAAAATGTCAAGGGTGCTATAAAGGCAGAGCCATTTTGACACATCTAAACTATTTAGAATTATCTTGTGCACAAGTTCCTCCTTTGTGATTGGAGAGAGGCTAGCTGACTAGAACATGTGGTGAATCAGAGAAAGAAGGTCAGGCTAATGAATAGGCATCAGCTGGTGTCTTGAATCAGGCTGGCAGGTTTTCTGATCTACAGATGAGCTCCCCCTCCATCTAAACTGCAATGCTATATTCTTACTCAAGCAACTAATTCACAATTCCACAGGAATCGATCCATTGAAAACTCAGGCGTCAAGAAAACTGATAAGAGGGAAAAATGTCATACCTCGGGATGCTTTGTAAAGTAATCAACAAGCCTAGAAGCAAAGCAATCATATCAGGTTTCTTGCATGGTGATTTCTAGCTTTTCATGTAACATAATCTTATGAATCTGTGTAGCTTCAGGAAGTAGGAATTTTTTCTGCGCAAGACGTCCATAAGAGAACCTCCTGAAAGAAAGAGCAATGGAACTTTAATTAAATAACATTGAATAAACCAAAAGAAACATAGATTTGCATAGGACCATCAAAACAAGAGTTGAACCAAGATTAGGACAAAGTGGCTGACACGTACCATAATCACCAAGAAGAGGATCAAAATTCAAAACAACAACCTTACATCTTCAAACGTTTGTTATTTGTTTCAGAAGTGGTGCCTGCTCATTCATCGCTTATCCATCTCTCTATCTTTTTTCTTTTTTTCTTCTTTTTTTTTTTAACGCTATCATTAATATCCTATGGCAATATTTCAATCCAAAACCCGTTTAAATTGATATTTGAACAGATATAACATTGGTAACTATCCGATTATTATATAAATAAGACTGATCATCGAATGCCCGGATATTACCATTACCAAGAACTACGCATGCAATGTTCATACTAACGGTGCAATTATTTTTATTTTCATCATTGAAGTTTTTGACTTGTAATTTCATCTTCGAAGTAACATCAACAAGGTTGCGCGTGTTGAGACTTCTTCAAGTTTGTGTTCTCTCGCATGAATTATTGATCCTTTTTATGAAATAAAACTTTATTCATAGTTAACAAAAATTAAAAGAAAACGATTAAATTTAATATAAAAAAATAGAACTTTTAGATCCCTGCGATTTCTTTCAATTTACAATCTCTTACCTAGCTTTTTCCTTTTTCAAAAAGCTTTTTATTACTTTTATTAACATCCTCTCTGTAATTTTTTAAATTGTTTATTTCACTTTTTAATAGTAATTAATTTTTTTAATTTTATAGTGCTTCAAAGAGATTATTATAACTATTTTCTATTTTTTTATGTTTTATTTTATATAAATAAATTGTATTTACTTGATGCATTTCTAAAAATAAAAATCATTTGTTCTTGGCAATAAAAATTCACCTCTAAGAAAAAATAAATAAAAACATATAACATAAAAATGACACTTGGGATTAAATATATAAATGTGCAATTATCTGTTTTTTTTTTACTAGAAAGATTAGCCTTAGGTTTTAGCATTTAACTAATATAGCCGGGCCACGTTAAATTATGGACTGGATTAAAAATTTCTAATATAAAAAAAATATACAGCATATTTTTTAAAATTAAAAAAAATATATGAACACGATCATAAATTTAATTAAATTCAATAAATTCGTTTAATTTAATAATATTATAATAAAAATAAACTAAATCAATTAAATTAAAAAAATAATGATGTGTGAAAAAACACTTGCTTATATTTTAAAAAGATTTTTATAAGCTTTATTGATTCAAAATTTAAAGAAATTTAATAAAATATTATCTAAAATACATTTGAATTAATTTAATAATTAGTAAAATATACCTAGTATATGTTAACTTACTTAATTTCTAAGAAATTGTATGGAAATGTGGGGAAAAGATTTTTATTAACGTTTACTTTTTAGAATTCAGACAACGCAAAAGCCAAGCGATCAAGCCTGGATGGGCTAATCCTTTTGAAACGTTTACTTTTTAGAATTCAGACAACACAAAAGTAGATGAAAAATTGAGCAAGGTGCTTTTCTGAATAAAAAAAATCTAATTTTCAATCTATTTTCACCTAAAAATATCTATTAAATACTCTTAGAATCTCAAAAAATTAATTTATTAACACAAAAAACCTCAAATTGGTTCAAAAACACATAATCAAATTGTTTTTTTTTTAAGCTCTCTCAATCCTAATTTATTTTTTTAGCTAATATGGAAGATCAAAAACACTTTGAAGGCACTTCTTCTTTGATATCAAGTTTGGTTATTTAAAAAAAAAATAGATTTACATAACTTCTTTTATTTTTCATTGTTTTCTAGCGAGTCTTTCCATCCTCTCTTAAACTAAAAAATTAAAATGTAAAATAAAATAAGATTTTGAACTAAATCAATCAATTAATTAATTTCCAACCTAAAATGATCAAAAAAGGATTTTTGGAAAAATCCTATAGCAAAAATAAAGGAAATGCGTTGAAACCAATTTGTTTATTTATTTTTTAATTATGGCTCCTATTTGATTTATTTATTCAATTTTGATTTCCTCATTATTAATATTTTTTAAATAATAAACTTGAATTATTTATTTTATAAAATTAATCATCAACTCAATTTTAGGATATTTTCTTTAATACTAGCTTATTAATTAGCATCGACAATTCTTTAATACCGGGTGGTATGGATATGGGTTTTTGAATGTGTTATGGTATGGGTTTGGTACCTCATTCCCTTTGCTATCATAAAAAGGAGACGCCTGATCATGTACTGGTTCTAATTCGAAACTGAATGCTTTTTTTTGCTCAAATCTTAGGCCCGGAAATCCTTTGACCCCAAACTTTGGGGATGGGCCGACAAAGTATACCAAGAAAGCAACAAAAGGTTGGCCTCCTAGGCTTCGTCGCTCACCATCTAAAGAGGAGCGACCGACCTGCTCCTGCAATTCCTAGGCAACTCTTTGAGGGTATCAAACTGATGGCTAGTAGTACTGTTGCTGAATCAGAAATGGAAGAAGAAATAAAGTTGGGTTCATATGGTGGAAAGGTGAGAGTGCTAAGACAAGATGAAGAATCAGCTGCTGCGGAAACCATGCTCTTGTGGGGTATCCAACAGCCCACCTTTTCAAAACCAAACTCTTTTGTCTCCCAATCTTCTCTCCAACTCAATCTTGATGCTTGTGGTCACTCTCTCTCCATCCTCCAGTCTCCTTCTTCATTGAGCACACCTGGAGTCACTGGTTCGGTCATGTGGGACAGTGGTGTTGTGTTGGGGAAGTTCTTGGAGCATGCTGTGGACTCTGGCCTGCTTCTTCTTCAAGGCAAGAAGGTTGTTGAATTGGGCTCTGGCTGTGGATTGGTAGGGTAAAGACTGCTTCTTTAACACTTTCTTTTTTATCCTTTTATTCATACTTTGCTATGGAAAATTGTTCTCTTAATTGGACTGGCAAAAGGCGGAAACTTTTCAACATCCAGCCTCATAATTGAGTTAATTTAAAGAGGTCCCTTTGGAATTGGACCTCCTTTTGTTACAAATGAAAATGCTCAATAAGAAGTGTCGGTGATTCTTGGCATGCAAAGACTCAAACTTTTTGATATGAGGCTGGTTGAATTTTCTAATTTCTGAATTCAACTTTTCTAGTTGAGAAAGAAGAGGAAAAATTTCACTTTTTTGAGTTGAATATGTATCATGTTTATGGTTTGCAGCTGCATTGCAGCTCTCTTGGGTGCTCAAGGAACACTCACTGATCTGCCTGATAGACTGAGGTTACTGAAAAAGAATATCGAAACAAATCTGAGGCATGGAAACGTGCGGGGCTCTGCAGTTGTTAAGGAACTCATATGGGGAGATGACCCAGATCAGGATTTGATTGATCCTTTTCCTGATTACGGTTCGACTTATTTGTTATCTTTGCCTGCTTGAGCTTGAATTGAAATTGAAATGTACCTATTTTTTGCTAATCGGTTCCACGTGAGCAACTTTTTAATGTTTTATTGAATCCATATTGTGACAAATTTGTGATAATTCAATCTAGAATAAAGTGTATTTCTTGAAATTACAGAACTGTTCAAATCATAATTGGCAGTGATTTGCAAGAGAATTTGATTGGTTGAGGTGAATTGGATATGCAGACAGTTCATGTGAGTGTT